TACTTTAAATGCTTTACTGGGTCTACGCAGGCCATAAACGATCTCCGTATCTGTTCCATCCTCGATATCTCTCCTGGCCTGAATGGAGCCCTCAACACTGAACAATATTCTAAACGAGAGAACATTTGTAAAGTGTCTCCATTGGCACTATTACCTTTGTTTTAGAAGTTCTCATTATCCACCCCGTCATCTTCCTAATTGTCGTGACATTTGCCTTAATGTGTTCTTTGAAAGAAACGTCAGATAATTATTCCCAAGTCCTTCATGAGTTCCTTTCGTATTTTTTTGATGATCCTCTTAAGTTTTGTATTCAGTGTCCCTTGAGAATTCTTCATTCTTTCCATACCTAAGCAGTTGGAACTTATCACCACTGAACGTCATGTTGTTCTTCACTGTCCACTGGACACCCCTGCTTATATCTTCCTGCAATTTTTCAGTGTCTTCTACCAAAGTGACTGTCATGCTTATTTTAGCGTCAAGGGCAAATGATGATACAAAACTGTGAAAGGTGTTTTTATCTGTCTGCTATGAGGATGAGAAACAGCACAGGTGCCAGGACAGTGCCTTAGGGAACTGAGCTTTCTACCTCGATGATGCTGGATTTCGACCTGTTTAATCCTACTAGTACTCTGTGTTGTGTATGTTAGAAACTTGAAAAATCTATCCGCCTACCTTCCCTGTATTGCCTATGACCCTCATTTTGTGTACAATTATCCCACAATCACATTTGTTAAACGCCACTGAAAAATCTGTGATATTTCTATATTTTGGTTTTCTTCCAACGTTTTCATAATTTTGTCATAGCGGTATAGCAGTTGTGACAATCATAATCTTCCAGTGCTAAAACCGTACTGGTTTAGGATGTGCAGTGTGTGTTGTTCCATAAAGGTTGCATGCAGAACAAGCCACATGGGGATAGAGATCTTTAGCGCTAGATATTTCATATTTCGCACTCTCATGCGTCGTGGGCCGTCACTGATACCTTCTGTCTTGCCTCAGAGAACTTTCACTCATATCTGTTGCTGTCTTGCAAGCGTGCATAGCTCCTGACGATGCACGAGAATGCGAAAGATCTAGAGCTAAAGATTTCCATCCCCATGTGGCTTGTTCTGAATTGTTAATATCGCCTGTTTCCGACTCTATCGTATATATTGCTGGAGAGCAAATAAACCGTATAATATCAATGGTTCGCCAATCACAGAAGAGCCTTCAAGAACCTCAGTAACAAATGCATCAGGTGTGTAAACCTATAAATCCCCATCCTAGAATATCCAACACTCTCACAGCCCATTTCTCACGCTCATAGACCGAAAAAAAAACCTATAGGTTTGCAGCCAGACTAGGGCCAAACCGGAGGGTTTGTGCTATATAGTGACGAAGAACTAAACTTGACACTAAAAGAAAAGACGATGTAAGTAGACATAATTACGATACACCACAGGAATAAAGAGTCAGGAAAAAAACGGTGAAATACGTGAAGCAGGAACGTAGATGGAAGCAAGCAACATACGTAGCTCTCTCTCTCTCTCTCTCTCTCTCTCTCTCTCTCTCTCTCTCTCTCTCTCTGCAATGTTTATATAAAAGATCATTTTCACAATATTCTCCTCTCTAGGATCTTGCTTAATTTATGTATCCTTATAGCTTTACAACTTTCAAGATTGATGGACTGATTACATCGACTCCAGGCTGAGGGACTGATTACCTCCAATTCCTTCTGATCTTCACCTTCTTTGCACTGGACTGATGAAGCCACTGTGTGGCGATACGTTTCCACAATAAAGATACTCAAGTGTTGCACATGTGTCTTATCAACTTTCCCCATTTTCTTAGCTCTATTTAACAACTGGGACGAGAGTAACTATTCAACTCCCCGTGTGGTTATCCATCTTTCATCTCTCATTCGCAATTTTGTATAATGGATGTTACTTGCCAACTCTTATCTCAGTTCTCTTATCCTCTGCTGTTATCTCTTACAAATCCGTTCTTCGCAAAGTCTACATTTCCAGTCATAGGGCAGCAGGAAGTACCATAAGCTGCTTGTGGAGGTGCAGGAGTCTACCTGGAGGTTATTCCGGGGATCAACGCCCCCACGGCCCGGTCCACGACCAGCCCTCCCGGTGGATCAGGGCCTGATCAACTAAGCTGTTACTGCTGGCCGCACGTAGTCCAACGTACGAACCACAGCCCAGCTGATCCGGCACCGACTTTAAGTATCTGTCCAGCTCCCTCTTGAAGGCAGCCAGGGGTCTATTGGTAATTCCCCTTATGCTTGGTGGGAGGCTGTTGAACAGTCTTGGGCCCCGGACACTTATGTTATCTCTTAGTGTACCAATGGTGCCCCTACTTTTCATTGGGGTATTTTGCACTGCCTGCCCAGTCTTTTACTTTCGTGTGCAGATTCGGGACTATTCCTTCTAGGAATTTCCAAGTGTAGATTATGATGTATCTCTCTCTCCTGCGTTCCAAGTGCTTCCAAGCGTTCCCAGTAGTTAAGGTGTTTGATGGAACTTATATGTGCAGTGAAGGTTCTCTGTACACTCTGTAGATCTGCAATTTCATCTGCTTTGAACTGAGATGTTAATGTACAGCAGTATTCCAGCCTAGAGAGAACAAGTGATTTGAAAAGGATCAACACTGGCTTGGCAGCTTTTGTTTTGAACGTTCTCATTATCCACTGTGATCGTGGCACTGTTGTGATCCTTGAAAGTGAGATCCTCAGACATTACTACTCCCAGGTCCCTCACATTATTTTTTCGCTTTATTGTATGATCAGAGCTTGTAGTATACTCTGTTCTAGTTATTATCCCCTCCAGTTTTCCATAACGGAGTAGTTGGAATTTGTCCTCATTGAACATCATATTGTTTACCGTTGCCCACTGGAAAACTTGTTTTATATATTCTTGAAGGTTAACCGTGTCCTCAATAGATGGCAGTCTGATGCAGATCCTAGTATCGTCTGCAAAGGATGACACGGTGCTGTGGATTACATATCTATATCTGATATAAGGATGAGGAACAAGATGGGGGCGATCTTCTTACACAGTTTTAGGAATAGGTATGATAGGTGATGTGTATTCACTGAATACGCATTAAAAAATTTAGATTATATTGTAGACAATTTTAGATATAAAAGATTCCACTCGAGCTTCCTGTAACCAACTCAAACTTTGTTGTGATGTGTCGGAGAAATAGGGATAAGACGGGAGAACGTGAGATAAATAAGATAAATGGTACATAGAAACGAGAGAATAACGAGAATAAAGGGAGGGAAAAGGGAAAATGAGGAGAGTTGAGGAAAGGAAAGATAAGTGTGTCCGAGCAATGGAAGGGAGAATGAGGAACAAAGGACAAATGAGGAAACAGGAGGGATATGAGAATTTAAAGTCTCCAGGAAAAACGATGAGAGAGAGAGAGAGAGAGAGAGAGAGAGAGAGAGAGAGAGAGAGAGAGAGAGAGAGAGAGAGAGAGAGAGAGAGAGAGAGGGAGAGAGCCAGTTCGTGTGTCTTGGACGATGACTACCACACCTCGTCTTGTGACACGCTCCAGGTAATCAATATTTTCAACCATCTCCTTGTCGGGAAGGAGAAGAGGGAGGGAGGGAGGGAGAGGGAAGGGAAGGAGGAGGGAAGGAGAAGAGAGAGGGAGGGAGAGGGAAGGAAGAGGGTGCAGAGGGACTGTGAAAAGGGAGGGAGGGAGGGGGGGAGGGGGGAGGGGAGAGAGAGAGAGAGAGAGAGAGAGAGAAGAGAGAGAGAGAGAGAGAGAGAGAGAGAGAGAGAGAGAGAGAGAAGAGAGAGAGAGGAGGAGAGAGAGAGAGAGGATAGAACAGAGGGAGAGGATGAGGTTGAAAGACACGCCAGAAAAAAAAGGCAGCAGAGACGAAAGGGAGGAGGGGGAGAGAGAGGGAGAGACAAGGTTGGAAGGAGAGAGGAGAGAGGGAGAGACAAAGATGGAGGGAGGGAGGGAGGGAGAGGAGAGGAGAGGGAGAAGAGAAATTGTTGAAGCTGCAGACCCAAATGAGTCACATCTTAAATCTGAAGATTGCCCTTGTGTCTGCTTCTCTGCTTTCCTTTGATGAAGACCCAAGGTCTGAGTGCAAGGTGTAGTGAAGGTCTGAGTGCAAGGTGTAGTGAAGGTCTGAGTGCAAGGTGTAGTGAAGGTCTGAGTGCAAGGTGTAGTGAAGGTCTGAGTGCAAGGTGTAGTGACGGTCTGAGTGCAAGGTGTAGTGACGGTCTGAGTGCTGAATGAGGGTGTGCAGCGTTGAGTGTATATTTATGGAACGTTTCACTGCTCAAGAGTGAAAAAAAACATACCACGGGTGGGGATAGAACCCGCGATCAGAGTCTCAATATAATATATTTATATTATATAATTACATTTTAATCATGCAGATAAGTGGAGACTTGATAGTATTAAAATGTACAGAAAGACTGTTATATTACGGCTGTGAGTTAAGTATTTGCGGTATGAGAGAGAAGTTCGTCTACATGGGTGGAATACAAGGGGCGGGGTAGAGGAAGGGGTAGAGTGGATGGTAGTGGAAGGGGTGGAGTGGATGGTAGTGGAAGGGGTAGAGTGGATGGTAGTGAAAGGGGTGGAGTGGATGGTAGTGGAAGGGGTGGAGTGGATGGTAGTGGAAGGGGTGGAGTGGATGGTAGTGGAAGGGGTGGAGTGGATGGTAGTGGAAGGGGTGGAGTGGATGGTAGTGGAAGGGGTGGAGTGGATGGTAGTGGAAGGGTGGAGTGGATGGTAGTGGAAGGGGTGGAGTGGATGGCAGTGGAAGGGGTGGAGTGGATGGCAGTGGAAGGGGTGGAGTGGATGGTAGTGGAAGGGGTAGAGTGGATGGTAGTGAAAGGGGTGGAGTGGATGGTAGTGGAAGGGGTAGAGTGGATGGTAGTGAAAGGGGTGGAGTGGATGGCAGTGGAAGGGGTGGAGTGGATGGTAGTGGAAGGGTGAAGAGTAATCGTAATTCAAAAAACAAAAAATTCGAGCATAGTACTTACCATAGTTCTTGAGCTCCGTCTGGTAGCCAGAGCCTCTGATTGGTTCACGCTGTCCTTCTGTGATCATTGAGAGTGGTGGACGGCGTCTTGGGGTGCTGGCGAAGTAGGGAGATGGCATCCTATCAACCTCTGTAACCTTCTTCTGCTGACGATGTTCTCGTTCTTGTAGCCACAATGTGCTGTCTGCGCCTTTACCTCTTACAAGCTGCCTTAATTCGTCTTCCCTCCTGGTAGGCAAGCGTTCTGATGGCTCGAACTGCGACTTTCCTCTCGCCCTCTCTGATATATGACGAGGTCCTCCCATTCCATCTTGCGTTGTGTGATTGGCAGCCATTCCATCACCACTTCTGGAGTAGTGTGCACCTGAGGAAGCTGCCCTTACGCGATCACCCCCATTACGGCCAGCTCTCCTCGCTGTATTTCCAATACTTCGGCCAGACTCGGAACTCAAGGATGGGGAGATTTTACGGCGGCCGAGTTTCTTGTATTGCTGATAGTCGAAAACTCCAGAAGGCGACGCAGTGGGGTAAACTTTAGAGTTCTTGGGCCTGCGCGTCGACGTCTTCCTCTGAGCTCCACCTGGCCCTGAGCCTCTTCTTGGTACGAATTGATCTGAGTGTCTAATGGGTGCTCCCCCATCTGGTGCAAGATTCGGCTGTGCGTCTCTGACTGGCAAGTGTGCAGAGTCATCTTGCTGATGGACGGACTGGTGTGAAACCTGCACCGCCTCCACCTCATCATCCTCCTCCTCTCCCTCACCACTAGTATCAGTCCTCTCTCCCTCACCACCTGTATCATCCTCGTCTTTCTCATCACCTGTATCATTCCTCTCTCCCTCACTAGAATCATCCTTGTCTCCTTCACTGCCAGTATCATCTTTCTCTCCCTCACCACCAGTATCATTCCTCTCTACCTTTGTGTTGGTGCGTTGCTTCTTGCCACCTTGTACACTGGTTCTAGAGGTCAAGTCAGTGTGTGTGTACCTTGTCTCCTCCCTGCCGTGGTTTAAGGTCGTGACCCCGGCCATGTTGTCTGTTTGTGCCGCTTTGTCTATTCCTTCCAGTTTCTTTTTATTCTGTGTCACCTCTAGTCTGGACTTTTCTATTATTCCTTTGTCTTTTCTCTCGCGATCATTTCTCAGGAAAGTTTCCGGATTTAATTTCATCTTCAGCAATGTTTTCTCTTCTGACTTTGGCATTATTTTTTCAAGCTTTCTCCTATCTTTACTCTCCTCCTTTTCCTCATCTCTCTCCTCTTCATCTGTATCTTCCTCCTGTTCTTTTTCCTCCTCCATCTCACGGAGTAACAGGCGAGGTGATGACAAGTCTGACCACTCGTCCTCTCTACCTGAATGATCATCAATGACAGAGGAAAATCGTCCTCCCTCCTTAACCACTTGCAATGATGGAGCTTTGAAGGAAGAGGCGTCTGCGGAGACTGGTGAGGGTAGCAGTGGTGGTGCTGGTGATGGTAACAGCGGTGGTGCTGGAGGCAGTGTTGGCGAGGTAGGCGGAGACGCACCTGTCGCAGCGTCTGAGGTCGTCTGCCCCGCGCGTTCCGCTGCCTCACCTCTGGGTAGGCGCCGCGTTCTTGCGTGTGCACGCCGTGGAGTGGGCGGGATCAACGGGTTCAGGGGCGTGACCGCCTTCCCCGGGGCGGCTTCCGCTACTCCCACCCCGGACGTCTCCCCCGTTGGTTTCCCAACGTTGGAATAATGTAGGAAGTCAGCGGTGACGGCGGGGGCGACGCGGGGGTGAGGCGTCTCCCCCACCTCCACTCTGACCTCCTTGACTCCCGATCTGCGTAAATTCTCCGGAAGAGTGTTGTCAGTTAATAAAGCTCTTCGCTGTGTTCGCTGCGAGTTGGTTGATGTGTCAGCAAGGCTAACTTTCACCAGCGTAGCCTCTGACATAACTCCAGCCACTACTCCAGCCTCCCTTCTGCTGCCTCCTAACACATCCACTTGTCTCCGTTTTTTTCCTCTCTTGTTTCCGCTGAGCTGGTGGTCACGCCCTCCTCCTCCATCTCCCTCCTTTGTCTGCTGTAGCTTCACTCTATCATAACCTCTCACAATCCTTGCATCTTTTACCTCGTCTCTGTGCACCTTACTTTCAAAATCGTTTCTGCTGTTCGTGACAGGAATTACACCGTCCAAATTAAGCTGCGCGAAATCTCGTAAAACTTTCCCCGCCATCTCAATGTCCTCCTCCTGCCCCTGCTCCTGCTTCTCCTCCTCCTCCTCCTCCTGTCCCTGCCCCTGCTTCTCCTCCTCCTGCCCATTACCCAGAGATCTGGCAGGTTCATCCTCGCCTGTGTACTCCCACCTCGTGTCTTCGTCGTCCACCTTATGATTCCCCGAAAAGATTTCTTGCAATTCAATTTTTTTGACGCTATTTCCAGAGTTCACCATTTTTGCACGAAAGCGTAGCTGTGTCAGCGTTGCATCTGCGTCCACCTGTAGCAGGGTACCTCTGGTGCTCTCTTTAAGTAGTGGATCTCTGGTGCTCTCTTCCAGTGGTGGATTTCTGGTGCTCTCTTCCAGTGGTGGATCTCTGGTGCTCTCTTCCAGTGGTGAATCTCTGGCGCTCTCTTTCAGTGGTGGATCTCTGGTGTTGTAGTGTGAGTCTGGAACAGTACCTGTGTTAGTCCTGCCTCCAGCAACGTACTCCATAACGTCTAGCTTCACTCTGTGTTCGTCGCTCTCCCGCCTGCTGAACTGACCTAATAAAGCATCAGTGACAGAGGAGTGGCGTAACGGGTGACGATGCTTGGCGGAGGTTACAGACGAGGGTTCCAGCGAGTCGACTTCGTGAGACCCGCCTTTTTTTAGGGTCATGGCTCGTGCCTCTTGGTAGGCGTCGCTAGTGAGGCGAGCTAGCCCTAATGCACGCCCGTCTCCGCCCCAATTCTCGACGATCTCTGTCCGCCCACTGACGTCTTCCCGCTCGTGACGATTTCCGCTACCCATCATCTTCACGCTAGGTTGAGAGAGCGGTGGGGTGTTCTCTCTGCTAGCCGATGGTGTCGTAGATGCGTCTTGACGGACACTTCGTTTTTGTCGGCCGTCAGAGCGTCTTCCGGTGTGGCTCGTCTTCTTCCTGTAGCTGAAGTGAAGCGCATCTTGCCACCGTCGCTCTATCTTTTGCGCCTCCTCTAGCATCTCCTGCGTGACGGGTCCCGGCAACTTCTGCAGGTCTCTGCTACTGAGGTAAGGCGACACACTCTCTACCCTCTCAACGGAGTCATTCACAGACTCCCTCATCACCGTCACGTTGTACACCCTTAGGTAATCCCGTGGCCGCGGGAGAAACCCCAGCTCGGTGTGCCCCTGACGAAGGGCCCCCAACAGTGCCAGTTCCCTGGAGTTTTTGCTGGAAGCGTCGCTGCTGACGGTGGCATCATTCACCCCACCCTCCCGTAGAAGCTTGAGCTCCCAGGAGTACTGCAGGGATGCCAGCTCCTCTGGCGAGCAAGACATGCACTCGCTCTCAAAGACAAGCCTCCGGGCGGCGCCGAAGGGAAACTGTGACCCCAGATGACTGCTGATCCCCACGCTGTAAGAGACAAGAAAAAGATTGCTTTAGTATCACCTCCACGCATAACAGAGTCACCCCTAAAACACAAGTACATGTATATTAAAAAAAATCTGCATATTCCATACAACACATGTGTTCAGTCAATACAGCACCCGTGCAGTCACTGTAACACCCATACACGGTCACTACAAAAGTCATACACATTCACTACAACTGTTGCCGCTACAACAGTCATTCACACTGTCACTACAACACCTGTAGTCACCACAGCTAACGTAGAGTCGCTACAACAAACGTAGTCACTACAATTCCTGACACTAGAGGGTTAATAAATATAAAAATCAATACAAATTTATTTTAGTTCACAATCATCCACTTTTAACATGCAGGTAGACATGCAGATAGACATGTAGGATACATGCAGGCAGACATGCAGGATACATGCAGGCAGACATGCAGGCAGACATGCAGGATACATGCAGGCAGACAGAGGAACAACAGAAGGGGAAACTGACACGTGTTTACCAAAAACTGACGTTCATCTTAACCTAGATAAGACTGGTTACACTCCTACCATAATAAAACACATTGTCAAACATACACGTGACAAGCAAACACCAGACTTCATGCCTTCAGGCCTCTCGTGTGACAAGCAAACACTGAGGTCCGGGGGTCGATCACCGGTACGGATGGAAACATCAGGGTGTATTTCCTTAAGACACCTGCTGTCCCTGTTCACCTATCAGGAAAATGGGTACCTGGGTGTTAGTCGACTGGTGTGGGTCGCATCCTGGGACAAAATTGACTTAATTTGCCCGAAATGCTCTGCATAACAAGGGCCTTTTTATGTAGTAGTGTCATTGATGTCAGGTAGGTCTTTATACCTTGTACATGTACAGTACTTGTAAAAATAAAGACAGTATTATTACTGTGTAGGCGAGACATTTCGGAATAAAGATACCTAACTGTTGCACATGTGTCGTAGTTAGTAACAACCAGGCCTGGTCATGGACCGGGCCGCGGGGGCGCTGACCCCCGGAATACCATCCAAGTATTTAGAGAGACACATGCACATACACAGCGACTCTCTTCCTTAACTATTAAAGCAAGACAGGTTCTTCTCTTACAAATGTAACAGATAAATGAACACAAGCGGAGTCACACTGGCGGAGTCACACTGGCGGAGTCACACTGCCAGAGTGACTTCTAACTCGCGTGTGAAAATCACCTTTCCGGCTTTCACAGTTGAAAAACAAGAAAATTCGTCGAAATAGGAAAATTCAATAAGTTCTACGGTAAATTTCTCGATTTACGTTATTTAACCGTTATTTACCTTGAAAATGACATAAAACACCGACAAGTTGATGATTAAGACACATGTGCAGCAGTTGGGTATCTTTATTGTTGAAACGTTTCGCCTACACAGTAGACTTCTTCAGTCAAATACAGAGGCAGCAGGTGTAGTAGTGAACTGAAGATGATGCAATTAGTCCCTCAGTCTGGAGAAGAGTTCAGCTCCATGGTCTGGAACGATATCGTTCCAGACCATGGAGCTGAACTCTTCTCCAGACTGAGGGACTGACCACCTCAAATACTATTTATCATCTTCAGTTCACTACAACTTCCAAGAAGATATAAACAAAGTTTTCCAGTGGGCAACGGTAAACAATATGATGTTCAATGAGGACAAATTCCAACTACTCCGTTATGGAAAACTGGAGGAGATAATAACTAGAACAGAGTATACTACTGACTCCGGCCACACAATAGAGCGGAAAAATAATGTAAGGGACCTGGGAGTAGTAATGTCTGAGGATCTCACTTTCAAGGATCACAACAGTGCCACGATCGCACGTGCAAAGAAAATGATATGATGGATAATGAGAACTTTCAAAACGAGAGATGCCAAGCCAATGATGATCCTTTTCAAATCACTTGTTCTCTCTAGGCTGGAATACTGCTGTACATTAACATCTCCATTCAAAGCAGGTGAAATCGCAGATCTAGAGAGTGTACGTATAAGTTCTGTCAAGCACCTTAACTACTGGGAACGCTTGGAAGCACTTGACTTGTACTCGTTGGAACGCAGGAGAGGGAGATATATCATAATCTACACTTTGAAAATCCTGGAAGGAATGGTCCCAAATCTGCACACAGAAATCACTCCCTACGAAAATAAAAGACTGGGCAGGCTATGCAAAATACCCCCAATTAAAAGTAGGGGCGCCACTGGTACACTAAGAGATAACATAAGTGTCCGGGGCCCAAGACTTTTCAACAGCCTCCCACCAAGCATAAGGGGAATTACCAATAAACCCCTGGCTGCCTTCAAGAGAGAGCTGGACAGATACCTAAAGTCAGTGCCGGATCAGCCGAGCTGTGGTTCGTACGTTGGACTGCGTGCGGCCAGCAGTAACAACCTGGCTGCTCAGGCCCTGAGCCACCGGGAGGCCTGGTCATGGACCGGGCCGCGGGGGCTTTGATCCCCGGAATAACCTCCAGGTAACTGCTGCCTCTGTATCTGACTGAAGAACAAAGATATCTAACTCTTGCACACGTGTCTTAATCATCAATCGTTACACTTGAATGTCAAGTTCCATTGCAAAATGCTGATACTGACAAGATGTGGGAAAAGACATGTACAGTTCAGGACATTTGTTCGAGGAAACGTTTCGCCACTCGGTGTAATCCCCAGAGGCAGGTAGCAGCAGAGTGATGGCAAAACAATTGAAGGCAACACCACTAAGATGGCGAGACCCCAATATTACCTACTTTACTGAGTTCGACATCTAGGCGAGTATAATTAGGAAGCGCGTCTGTCTGGCGTTCTGGGCAGGAAGGAAATCGAGCAACTGAATAAGCTGCTTCGTGGGCGCTGTCAAGAGTACCGCCCTTGATGTATTCATGGGCGGTGGGCGGCAGTAGGTGGCTTCCTGTAAACACCAGCCACTCACCCATCCATACACTCGCTGATGGCTACACTCGCTCACCCACACTGCCTCTCACTCGCCTACATCTACACCCGCCCACATATCTACTCTCACATCCGCCCACACCCTAACCACGCCCACTTCCACCCACGCCCTCATGATAATCCTCCCTGCGTAAGCGTATTTAAGAACATAAAAATGGAGGAACACTGCAGGAGGCCTACTGGCCCATACAAGGCAAGCCCTTATTAAAACCAGTTGAGTCAATATCTCAGCGAATGAGGTGAATCTTTGACTTGTCTTATAGCCACACCTGTCCAGCCACACCTGCCACTCCACAGTTCTTTTGACATAAAATTGGAAAAGTATCTACACAGTCCAACACCAATATGAACCTTCTTCGAAGTGAGATAAACCAACACTGAGTTTGAAGCCTGTCAGAAGAATCGTTCTCAGGCTATCTCACGGAAACTTTCCAGGAAAACAAAAATGACAATAGTAATAGTTAACAATGTAATAAGTAATAGTTAACAGTAATAAGTAATAGTTAACAGTGTAGCAAGTAATACTTAACAGAGTAATAAGTAATAGTTAACAGTGTAATAAGTAGTTAACAGTGTAATAAGTAATAGTTAACAGTGTAATAAGTAATAGTTAACAGTGTAATAAGTAATAGTTAACAGTGTAATAAGTAATAGTTAACAGTGTAATAAGTAATAGTTAACAGTGTAATAAGAGCAGGTAACATGGAAGTAGGCAGAACGTACAGCCTGTAAGTTCAAAACCTCGCAAGTTCAACTAGGCGAGAGATGAAGCCACTGGTGGGCGAAAGGTCTACTTGTCGGTGCTGTATTATGACTGGTATAAACCTCGGTAATAGATACCGACGCTCTGGTAAAGATACTTGAGCAAACACTACGACATATTAGAAATTTTGTCGGTCCTGGAACCTTGATCACTGTCGGTCCCAAGACCGAAATATTTTCTAACATGTCCTCGCGTTTGCTCACTGTTTATGATTACCATAATTTTTTTTTTCAACACGTCGGTCGTCTCCCACCGAGGCAGGATAACCCAAAAAGAAAAATATTTTCATCATTCAACACTTTCACCTCACTCATACATAATCACTGTCTTTCCAGAGGCGCTCAGATACGACAGTTTAGAAGTCCCTTCAAACTGCCAATATCCCAAATCCCTTCTTTAAAGTGCAGGCATTGTACTTCCCATTTCCAGGACTCAAGTCCGGCTAACCGGGTTAGCATAAGCAGGGTAATTACACTCTGATTATTATTATTATTATTATTAAAGATTCACGGGTATTCTCCTGGCCCGGGCCTTTTCCAAGTGGTGGCCCGGCCTTGGCTCCCTCTTTAGGGAGTGTCTGAGACCTAAGTCTCCCATGAGAGGAGGCACAAGTACCTCCTCATCTTTGGGACCAACTGTCCCCAGGCCTAGCCACAAGCTAGGCCTCTCTGGTCTGCCATCCCCGCCCCAAAGGGGCAAATAGGAATGACAGTCTTATGAGCTAAAGGCTCGGGCACCTACCCTACCCTAGAAGGGTTAGGCATGGTGTCGATGTATATGTACACTCTGATACTGCCTCATGCCTCATCCTACCCTCTTCTTCCTGCCTCTCACCCAACACACAACTTATACCACCACTCAACAGGCAGCATTATTAATATTAGTTGTAGTAGTAGCAGTACATCTAAGGGGGAAGCACTAAATCCGTAAGAATGAAAGGCATTCGGGCTGGCTTCAAGGAATTGGAACACATGTTAGATTTCTTAAGTCAAGAGCCCCTTCTGACCAGCATCAAGGGCCCTCCCTTGGGGGATAATTAGTGTGCAGAAGCAGTCAACTTGTGCCGTGTTACCACATGGAGAAGAACCGGGCCAGGACTCGTCCTGGAGAACCTACCTGTAGTGTGGAAAAAGACATTTATGTATAGTACAGAACATTTATTAAAGGAAACGTTTCGCCACGAGTGACTTCTTCAGTCCTGAAACCACTCGTGGCAAAACGTTTCCTTTAATAAATTAAATGTCCTGAACTGTACTTAAGAGTCTTTTCTCACATCTTGTCGGTATCACCATACCATTTCTCATGTACCTGTAGTAAACTAGTGTGGCGACTCACCTGTCTCTGGGAGCGGCGACAACGATCATCTGCTGGGCAGAGGTGGTCATGGAGCCGTGGTGGCACGAGGCGATGAAGACGAACTTGTGGCCAGGCAGCAACATGGAGGCCGGGAAGCTGATCGTTTCGATGTACCTGACATTCGAGCTGAGGAGTCCAGAGCTCTTCAGTGGAGCTGTTAGCCTGGAGGTCGAGGCAGTGTGTGATGTGTCTGCTGATGCTTTTCCCGATGGTAAAGTTATGTCTGCTGGCGATACTGACGATGTTCTGTAACGCCAGAATGTCTCTGTGCCCACGTCGGAAACACCCTGTATTGTGGAAGTGGTTCCTACTGACGAAGTATCTCGTCCGTCGTCGTGATCGTCTTCAGCGTGGGAGAGGATGTCCAATAAGTGTTTGATACGCACGAAAAAGCCGTCAGCGTGGTGGGTGGTGGTAGGGAAGGAGGCCCAGGGATCCGGCTCGGAGAAGCAGGGGTAGTCAGGGTTGTCGGACAGTCGGCACATCCAATTCAGAGTGTAGTTGGGCGTAGGCGCTGCCACCTCCACCCGCAGAGTGATGTTAGAGGTAGCTTCTAACTCTCGCTCCGTCCCGTCCAAGAACACGGCCCTGCGGGCACACATGCATTGTATTACAAAACAGTAGTCACGACGCCCTAGGTTAGGTTAAAGATTAAGACGCATGTGCAACAGTTTGGTATCTTAATTGATGAAACGTTCGTCTACAGAGTAGACTTCTTCAGTCGAGTACAGAAGAGTGAGCAGAAGCAGTATAGATGACCTGACCTCTCAATGATTACATTCTTCTACTAGTAGGCTGCGCCTCGCCTCTTGACAGTATACAAGTCTCTAAACTGTTGCTTCAACTTCACACTGTTCCAGACTATGGAGCAAATATTCTCCAGGCTGAGGGACTGAGTACCTCAAAACTAAGTCTTCAAGGCTGATGGACTGATAACATCGTCTTTACATCTTTAATGCTTCTGCTCACTTTTCTGTACACAACTGAAGAAGACTAATGTGCGGGCGAAACATTTCGAAATAAAGATACCTAACTGTTGCATATATGTCTTACTTATCATAATAGTGGATTATAATGGGGAGCGCTAAACCCGTTGTGATTATACAGCGCTTGTGGCTTAATTCAGCGAAACGTTGCCACAATGAAATGCCACATTAGTTGTACCCAACATATCGGTAATTTTACCAACATATATTTCATTAGGAACTTTAAGGGTCCAAGTAACCTTGTCACCACCAGAAAATAGGTATCATTAAGACAGGTGTTAGGACACTCTCAGCATATATACTCTGAGACACAAATACCTGTGTTGAATACCCTCCAGGTAGACCCCAGGTTAGTAGGTACGTTGTATATACAGTTAGTTACCAGGTGGCAAAAGTACCTGTCGATAGACACTTGGTCTGTTGTTCATAAGTAATGTGTGTGAGAAAGTGTGTGTGTCACGCTGTTGGTGCTAGCAGCATGCACCAGTTTCACCAGGAACTTCCCGGAGAGACTCGTCTATACTTACCCAAAACGGGAGAATGGGAGGTAATGAATGGAATTTGAATCAAGGAGGGGTAGAGGAAGTTCAATTCTTGGATCAAGAGCCCTTCTCCAGCATCAAGACACTTCTCCTTGAAGGGATCTTACAAATTTAGTACATCTTCACCTATACTGCTTTTCAATTTATGATAGCTATGTGGGTCACTACCAGCAACAACCTGGTAGACCAGATTTTCAATCTCCCCCCCCTAAAAAAAGCCTCGAAGTAGGCCTAGGTGCAAGGGTCTACCTGGAGAGTGTTCCCGGGGGTCAACATCCCCGCTGCCCAGTCCTTGAACAGGCCTCCCGGTGGATCACGGCTTGATCAACTAACATATAGAATAATATTCACTTTTATTATTAAATATTTGCTGCATATATGACCAATGACAGTTATTGGTTACTAGTACAAGAATCACTAGTAACTAGCCAACAACCATATATGACCAATGACAGTTATTGGTTACTAGTACAAGAATCACTAGTAACTAGCCAACAACCATATATGACCAATGACAGTTATTGGTTACTAGTACAAGAATCACTAGTAACTAGCCAACAACCATATATGACCAATGACAGTTATTGGTTACTAGTACAAGAATCACTAGTAACTAGCCAACAACCATATATGACCAATGACAGTTATTGGTTACTAGTACAAGAATCACTAGTAACTAGCCAAACAACCATATATGACCAATGACAGTTATTGGTTACTAGTACAAGAATCACTAGTAACTAGCCAACAACCATATATGACCAATGACAGTTATTGGTTACTAGTACAAGAATCACTAGTAACTAGCCAACAACCATATATGACCAATGACAGTTATTGGTTACTAGTACAAGAATCACTAGTAACTAGCCAACAACCATATATGACCAATGACAGTTATTGGTTACTAGTACAAGAATCACTAGTAACTAGCCAACAACCATATATGACCAATGACAGTTATTGGTTACTAGTACAAGAATCACTAGTAACTAGCCAACAACCATATATGACCAATGACAGTTATTGGTTACTAGTACAAGAATCACTAGTAACTAGCCAACAACCATATATGACCAATGACAGTTATTGGTTACTAGTACAAGAATCACTAGTAACTAGCCAACAACCATATATGACCAATGACAGTTATTGGTTACTAGTACAAGAATCACTAGTAACTAGCCAACAACCATATATGACCAATGACAGTTATTGGTTACTAGTACAAGAATCACTAGTAACTAGCCAACAACCATATATGACCAATGACAGTTATTGGTTACTAGTACAAGAATCACTAGTAACTAGCCAACAACCATATATGACCAATGACAGTTATTGGTTACTAGTACAAGAATCACTAGTAACTAGCAACAACCATATATGACCAATGACAGTTATTGGTTACTAGTACAAGAATCATTAGTAACTAGCCAACAACCATATATGACCAATGACAGTTATTGGTTACTAGTACAAGAATCACTAGTAACTAGCCAACAACCATATATGACCAATGACAGTTATTGGTTACTAGTACAAGAATCACTAGTAACTAGCCAACAACCATATATGACCAATGACAGTTATTGGTTACTAGTACAAGAATCACTAGTAACTAGCCAACAACCATATATGACCAATGACAGTTATTGGTTACTAGTACAAGAATCACTAGTAACTAGCCAACAACCATATATGACCAATGACAGTTATTGGTTACTAGTACAAGAATCATTAGTAACTAGCCAACAACCATATATGACCAATGACAGTTATTGGTTACTAGTACAAGAATCACTAGTAACTAGCCAACAACCATATATGACCAATGACAGTTATTGGTTACTAGTACAAGAATCATTAGTAACTAGCCAACAACCATATATGACCAATGACAGTTATTGGTTACTAGTACAAGAATCACTAGTAACTAGCCAACAACCATATATGACCAATGACAGTTATTGGTTACTAGTACAAGAATCACTAGTAACTAGCCAACAACCATATATGACCAATGACAGTTATTGGTTACTAGTACAAGAATCACTAGTAACTAGCCAACAACCATATATGACCAATGACAGTTATTGGTTACTAGTACAAGAATCACTAGTAACTAGCCAACAACCATATATGACCAATGACAGTTATTGGTTACTAGTACAAGAATCACTAGTAACTAGCCAACAACCATATATGACCAATGACAGTTATTGGTTACTAGTACAAGAATCACTAGTAACTAGCCAACAACCATATATGACCAATGACAGTTATTGGTTACTAGTACAAGAATCACTAGTAACTAGCCAACAACCATATATGACCAATGACAGTTATTGGTTACTAGTACAAGAATCATTAGTAACTAGCCAACAACCATATATGACCAATGACAGTTATTGGTTACTAGTACAAGAATCATTAGTAACTAGCCAACAACCATAGCCCGCTTCACTGTGTAGTGAACTGCAGGCCACTTCAGTGTGTATTTAAGTAGTGAACAACCATAGCCCGCTTCATTTTATAATGAAAGAGAAGGAAGAGGAATGTGTGAGGAAGATAGAAATAAGGAGGAAGAAGTGAGAGAGAGGAGTGAATGAAGAGGGAGAGTGACAGTGAAGGCGACAATGAGAGGAAATGAAGACGAGGTACGGAGAGGGAATTAAGGAGAGAAGGAAAATACAGGATGGAGTGACGGTACCCACTTGCGAGTGAGAGACAGTACTCGTGAGACAGTACTCGTGAGACAGTACTCGTGAGACAGTACTCGTGAGAGACAGTACTCACTTGTGGGACACAATACTCACGTGCGAGTGAGAGACTACTCGTGAGACAGTTCTCACTTATGAGACAATACTCACTTGTGAGTGAGAGAGTACTCGTGAGAGACAGTACTCACTTGTGAGACAATACTCACTTGTGAGACAATACTCACTTACGAGACAGTACTCACTTGTGAGAGAGAGTACTCACTTTTGAGAGAGAGTACTCACTTTTGAGAGAGAGTACTCACTTGTGAGAGAAAGAGTACTCACTTTTGAGTGAGAGACAGCGCTCGTGAGTGAGAGACATACTTGTGAGTGAGAGAAAGTACTCACTTGTGAATAAGAGGATGCAACACAGACAGGAGTGAGAGTACTCACTTCAGACGGATGGCCACTACACTGAAGGTAGTATTGAAGGCAGCTTGGACCAGAGTGTCTGTCTCCTTGATGGTGAGCTCAGCAATGTACTCTCCGTCCTCCAAGGACTTGTGTTGCCCCAGGAAACTCTCCGGGACCCCAGGCGGCAGGGGTTCCCGCCTGAGGTCACCCAACGAGGATGTGTGGCCGCGATCTTGGCCCGCGCGAAGATCTGCTGAGTTCGAAGTCACTTCTGTAGGGCTTAAACTCGCTTCCAGCGGGATTGAACCCTTTCTCGGCGACTCTGGACTCACTTTCGACAGGTCCGAACCACCTTCTTGTTCTTGTAGAAGCTTATAAATATCGTGCCTTGGATTTTGATCTTTCAGTTTCTCAAGCACGTGCTGCTGCTGCATAAACTGATCATTCCAGGCGACGTACGACTGATCGTAGAACGGGTAAATGAGGAGGGTTGGAGAGTGCAGTTCAACAGCGTCCTCGAGGTGCAACTCTACTTGCTGCTGGTTCCACAGCCGCCAGCGGTACTCTGGACCGCTACTCAGCGGGCACAGACGCCGCAGCTCCGGCTCCACTAGGATCTCCTGCGACGCATCATACTGCGGGCACACAGAAAAGAAAAACAGGTTACTATTAGTCTACGGTGGTTCGTGCTCACACCACACCTGGCACTGAATGACCCACACGGGTTTAGCTCTTCATATAATAAAAATGTTTATATATATATATATATATATATATAATTATATATATATATATATATATATATATATATATGTGTGTGTGTGTGTGTGTGTGTGTGTGTGTGTGTGTGTGTGTGTACTCACCTAGTTGAGGTTGCAGGGGTCGAGTCCGAGCTCCTGGCCCCGCCTCTTCACTGGTCGCTACTAGGTCACTCTCCCTGAACCGTGAGCTTCATTATACCTCTGCTTAAAGCTATGTATGGCTCCTGCCTCCACTACATCGCTTCCCAAACTATTCCACTTACCGACTACTCTGTGGCTGAAAAAATACTTCCTAACACCCCTGTGATTCATCTGTCTTCAACTTCCAACTGTGTCCCCTTGTTACTGTGTCCAATCTCTGGAACATCCTGTCTTTGTCCACCATGTCAATTCCTCTCAGTATTTTGTATGTCGTTATCATGTCCCCCTTATCTCTCCTGTCCTCCAGTGTCGTCAGGTTGATTTCCCTTAACCTCTCCTCGTAGGACATACCTCATAGCTCTGGGACTAATCTTGTTGCAAACCTTTGCACTTTCTCTAGTTTCTTTACGTGCTTGGCTAGGTGTGGGTTCCAAACTGGTGCCGCATACTCCAATATGGGCCTAACGTACACGGTGTACAGGGTCCTGAACGATTCCTTATTAAGGTGTCGGAATGCTGTTCTGAGGTTTGCTAGGCGCCCATATGCTGCACCGGTATTTGGTTGATGTGCGCTTCAGGAGATGTGCCTGGTGTTATACTCACCCTAAGATCTTTTTCCTTGAGTGAGGTTTGTAGTCTTTGGCCCCCTAGACTGTACTTCGTCTGCGGTCTTCTTTGCCCTTCCCCAATCTTCATGGCTTTTGCACTTGGTGGGATTGAACTCCAGGAGCCAATTGCTGGACCAGGTCTGCAGCCTGTCCAGATCCCTTTGTAGTTCTGCCTGGTCTTCGATCGAGTGAATTCTTCTCATCAACTTCACGTCAT